CTTGTGACGCGGCCCGCGTTAGTAGCAAGTACAATGTACAAGCACTATAGCGACCAGTCTATCTTATCTCCAACCACCACCACGGGATGCAAGCAGCGCGACCAGGTTAACTCTCCCACCGAGTCGGTAACGGCAAGGCGGGACGAGGGGACTGTGTCGCGTAAGACGTACAACGGTCGGCGGAAAAGGCGATTCGAGATCCACCATCGGACCGTCGGACCGATAACATATCGTCCGACGTTAAACTCATCTGCCCGAGCGGCAGGTCATGTATTATTATATTTTGGTCACAATATTATAATACATAATTTGTGACATTCTTAAAGTGTTTGTGTTGTGTTTTTTTCATCACCTCAATCCTAACCAAACACTTCGACCGGACCACGATCAACCTTGAAGCAATCATCGTGTCCGCGTCACTTGAATATTGATAACCTCCATTTTCCCTCTGTATTGACATTCAAAAATGAGCTAGGTAATCATTGTGAAGTGTTTTTTTCCGTTCAAGAATCTGGAGATTGTAGTTTGAACTCTTTAATATGACGTCTTACCATTGTATATATATTTTTTATTTTTTTTTGTTGTTTTCTAAAATACATTCGCCTGCGGGCGCCAACACTCCACTTCTATTTTTTTTAGGAATTTGATTAGTTGAATTTTTTGCACAGACTTGTTTATTGATTACCTGCAGGTGCAATCTGTATTATCATTCTTTAATGAGCTAATCATCGTTAGTTGTTTTTCTGTTTAAGATTCTGGACATTTAAGATTGAACTCTTTAATGTGTGTTCCTACTGTATAATTTTTACTAAATTTTTTTTTGTTTTTTATAAAATGCATTTGCCTGCGGGCGCCAACACTCCCCTTTCATTATTTTTTTAGGAATTTGAGTCTAGTTGAAATTTTTGCACAGACTTGAATATTGACAACCTGCAGGTGCCCTCTGTATTGACATTCTAAAACAAGCTAGGTAATCATCGTGAATTGTTTTTTCTGTGTAAGATTCTGGAGATTGTAGTTTGAACTATTTAATATGACGTGTTATTATTGAATAATTTTTTCAAAATGTTTTTTTTAATTTTCTTTAATGCATTTGTTTACAGGTACTCTATGAATATACTTTCTTTAATAAACTATGTATTATGAATAGTTTTATTAAGATTCTGGAGATTGTAGTTTGAACTCTTTAATCTGTGTTCCTACTGAGGTTCTTACTGTTTAATTTTTTTCTAAATTTTTTTATTGTTTTCTAAAATGTATTTTCCTGCAGGCTCAAACACTCCCCTTAAGTTTTTTTTTTTTTAGGAATTTTACTCTATTTACATTCCTTCTATAGACTTGAATATTGATAACCTGCATGTGTACTCTGTATTGACATTCTGTAACGAGCTAGTTACTCATTATAAACTGTTTTTTTCTGTTTATGAATCTGAAGATTATAGTTTCAACTCATTGATATGTGTACTTATTGTATATTATTTTCTAAAATGCATTTGACTGCGGGCGACAAAACTCCCCTTCAATTTTTTCTTAGGAATTTAACTCTTGTTGAATTTTTCATATAGACTTGATCATTGATATCCCGCAGGTGCCCTATGAATAGTTTTTCTTTAATGAGCTATTTATTTTGAATAGTTTTTTCTGTTTTAAATTCTGGAAATTTCAGTTTGGTCTCTCTTATATGTGTAAATTGTATAATTTTTTCTAAAACTTTTTTTAGTTTTCTAAAAAAGCAAAATCATTGAGCACTCACAGCACGGTTAAGGCGTTACGGTTATTTAGTTTTTCCATTAGGATCATTTTTCCGTAAATCATAATAGTATATTAATAGTTTTACAACATTTTTTTAAATACAAATTTAAACACGGCGCTTTGGATAGGCATTTCAGCTACAACACAGGTCATTGATTTTGTGCACCATTATTAAACTATATACCTGGTTCAGTGTTTATGTACAACTCTAGGAAGCCGTTTTAGTTATATCTAAAACCGTGTAAGTAATGCAAAAGCAGATCTCACGGCGTCTTGTCGTCAGTTCCAAATGGAAAAAGTTTCCATTTAGGCTACACCCTACAGGCAACTATTTATAATAATATTTCTGTAAATGAACATACGATTTATCAATAGACCGTATCATAGGTACTGAATATAATATATAAGTTCTATGGTATAATACAATGCTACAAAAATAAAGACAGTGTTAAAAGGAATAAAACAATTTGTATTTCTGTATAGTTAAGTATGTAGTATAGACGTATTGGGCACAAGTTTTATTATAATTTTAAATTGTACCTAACTTAAATTAAATATTGATATTTACATTGTGTCATATAAGCAGAGCTTTTAAGTTCAAGCCCCAAAAATTATTAAATAAGCATGCAGTTATGCGCTAAAAACTGGCAAAATAATCCTTTAAAAGTTCAGAAATATGCATTCATATGGACTCAAAATCTAAAACTATACATTAAAAATAAGTGGATTAAAAAATGAAGACATCAAATGCAATTTTTGGAATAGCAAGAATTATCTGTTCATATTTTTAATAATTTGACATAGCAACAATTCTCATACATTTAATAAAGTGAAAAAGTATAAATTATTGCGCTTTTCATTAAATTTTAATTTTTCCGTATTATTTCAATAAAAAAAAGTATCTATACTTACATCTTTAGTGTTGGACACAATCGATAGATTTTAAAATTATATATTGTTCATTTAAGAAATGTCAAAATATCATATCATTTGTTATCATTTTATTGAGGAAATTAATGTATAACAAACTGTAGCTTACCATGAATAGACAGTACCATTTAATATAGAAATAAAATATTTGTAGTTTGAAAAAATTATTAATTGCAATAAAATTAAATATAGATAGCTCGTTTCATACATTATATTGTTAAGATTTCAAAAAACAAAGAAATCATCTTTAACAAAAAGTGAGTTGAGTTTATAACTGTTAAATTATTATGCTTCATTAATCATCGTCATCATCGTCTTCTTGAATATAACGATAGGGTATTGACTGATTTATGCATTGACGTGTTGGACGAGAGCCACCAGCTACAGTACTGTCCGACCAATTAGTTTCATCAGAGTTCAATTCAGAGCGGCTATCTTGTGATCTTATTGATCTAAATGAAGAATAACAATATATTATATATTTTAAATAACAAGTACTGAAGAGGATATGGGTTCATATAAACTTACTTAATAATCTTTGATTTCCTTTTCTTTAATGGTGCTTCATTCTGTATACTTGGAGTTCTGAGAGTAGTAAAGTAAAAGTAGTAAACATTGATAAAATAAAAGGTTTAATCAATTGTGTGATTCAAACTACCTAGTGAGTTTAGTGGTATGAATATAAGTTTTTGCATGTATTTATCTAATAAAATTATATAACAAAGCTCAATAAACTAAATAAAATTAATATACAACATTTTATATTTTCATAATATATTTATTATGAAATATTTGAGTTACATAAAAATTATTATTTTATTACTTACCATATTATAATTTAAGGTATAAGGGTAAATCTTGAAAATTAACTATTCATATAAATTATTATAATATAGGTCAACGTTTTTCTCCATAATGTTAATTATATTAAGATATTGTCAAAATATAATATTTAAAAATATATTATATATATATCTTAAAATCCCAAACTAAATTCCATGCATATTGAAAATAATATTTTCCATACATTTAATTTAATAAAAAATAACTAAAACACATAGCCAAAATATAAATTTTTATAATTATTATCAATCACATTTATCAAAAATGCATGCATTGTTTATATACATTTAAAAGTAATTGATATAGGTATATAAAATGTACAACTTAATTAAAACAGTAATTTTTTTATTATCCAAAATCTTGATCTGACCCTCATCATCATCATCGCCATCTAAAAAATAAATTTTGAAAATAGTTATGAATTTTTTTTTTATTTTATATATTTAAATGGTTTATTTACAAGTTTCTTTTTTGTTTCTACGTGTGTATGCTCGCCGTGAAGTTACTGGTCCAGGTTCAGCATCACCATGCATTAGGCTGTTTCTATAAATGACCCAAGGCTGCCAATCTTCACTACGACTTGATGGAACTGCTGATGTTATGTGTTTATCCAAATAGTTCAGACTAAAAAAATAAACAACAGTTAGGATAAGTAATTATTGAATTGAACAAATTCAAGATATACATACACAATGCGTTTATCTTGTTTAAGAAGTTTGTTGGTGAATTCTGCTAATATCTCCAAAAATGCATCATGTGGAGGTGGTACCGATGGATCATCTTGAGCAATTCCTTCATCAGTACCTACAGCGAATAAAACACCTTCACGATGTAAAGCTGCCATAGCTTCACGATTTTTTAATGCATCCAATCCAAATGATAAATCAAATCTTTTGGCCAATTCCTAACATAAAAAAAAATTGTAGTATTCAATCAACTTGATTTAGTAATGTTAATTCTAGTTAAAGTTTAAACTATACCTTTAAACTGCTAAACTCTTGAGAAGATTTTGAGATACGGAACGTGCCACAGTTGATTTGTTGTTCTCTAAATGATGTGATTAAACTGACAACCATAGTTCTGGCACAAATTACTTTATTAATTTCACGGGCCTTTCCAATTGTAGTCTTAATAATATCTCCATATTCATTATATTCATAAAAAAGATAATTAATAATCAGTTCATATTTATTAATTTCATACTATTTCAATTCATACTTTGACATAATGCTTAAAGATATCTGCTGCGCAAGTAACCGGAATCATCCCATACACAATTAATTTACAATAAGATGCTAAAAAGTTTCTTCTTTTATGTAGTTCTTCAATTTTTGAATGTTCATCTTGAACACCTGTTTATTAATTTGGATTTATTAGTCTAGGTATATAGTTCAAAATTCAATACATTTAAGAACATCTAATATATAAATCACCTTCTTCTTCATAAACAAACACATTTTTTTGAATAAAATTATTCAATAAATCTTGAAGTTTTTTGTCAGAATCATAAATGAGATTTCCCAGAACTGGATAATGTTTAACACCCAATTGATTACAAAAAACGACAAGTAAGTCACATATTGATATATAGCCTATATAAACAATATTTATTAAAAATAAATGTTCTATGGTTCTCAGAAGATAATAGAAGAAAAGTACCTTTTCCTTGAATAAAGGATTAGTAGAATGTGCCAAAATTAATCGAAGAACATCCATGAAATCAAAGAGCTTAGTCTTAACTTGCGCCACTTGTTCTTCTATATCTTCGTTACGTCCATTTTCCAAAACATTTTCAACACTGTGTAATTCCCACATTGTAGCAAACATACACGCAGCAATGCTATATTTGATAGCCTTTCATAACAAGTAAAAAAATCATATAATAAATAATTAAATTTAAAATTTGCATAAATATTAAATTACTTCTTCTGGTAGTGGGTTTGAACCTTCATGGGCCATTTTTAAGTCTTTGAAAATGATATCCCACAAATTCCAAGGCCCTAAGTTATGACATGAATAAAATATAGAAATCTTTTTCATACTATTTACCACATTGTAGATTTCATCATCGTCAGGTTTTTCATTCTAAAATAATGTTTGTTGTAGAATAAATATTAAATATCATTAAAAATAATGGTTCAATATTTTATGAAAATAATAATATATTTATTTATTTATTTACTCCTTCAATTAGATTGTTCCAAGCGTCCATAGCTTCTCTGTGTTTATTAGTAATGGTGTCCATTAGTGTACTTTTTTGAACACTACACCTGGTAGCTAATGTAGAATTGTTTTTTGAACAAAGAATTTCTAAAGTTTTGGCACAAGTTTCAAGAACTTTGTCGTTTTGATGTTTGATTGTTTGATTTGTTTGATGTTAATTTTTTAGTAATAAGCTTATACATTCATTATAAATTATTCAATTATTGTTATTTTAATATTTAATAAGTTTTAACAACCAAATTACAAGATATATTAAACGTGACCACTGCAAGTTCTGCTTTCAAGCTTAGTGTCCCGCTGTCCAAAGGTGTAAACACTCATAGGCCATAGTCTATATAGTCTATAAATAAAAATCATAAAAAAAAATAAGTACCTAATTCGTATTTTAAATTTAAATACATCGTTATTTCGGATTTGCGGATCCAAAAAATATAAAAATCCAGCTAAATATTATAATTTAATTTACCATTTGTCTGTTTTTGTTTTGTAATTTTTATAAAAATAATTATTGTTTTACACTGTGTAATGTGTTTTACTATATTTTTAGTATTATCATTTTTCGAAAAAACTTATTATGGTTTTCCTATTGAAATTCATAAGTGTCTTGCTTTGAGTAAAAAATATTATGGTCACGTTAGGTATATTCGACACCTACTTTCCCGCTTTTTTTTAAATTGCTATTAGTTATAATTTTACAACTAATTTATAATTTTTATAATACTAGAGTTAAAGTTAATGTTTTTTCAAACGATGAAATTCATATTCCCGGAGTTAATATATTAGATTCTATTGAAGATAATAGTATAACGCCATGTGAAAATATTGATTTACATGAACTAGAAACTGTCAAAGATCCAGAAATCGAAAACTCGCCAACAGAGTATGTTTATAACATTTATAATATAATTCTGAGATAAAATAAATATGTTTGAATTTATAAGTTACTATGATAACTGCTTAAAAATTTTCAGAATAATAACTAATGAAATAGACGGACTTAGAATAGTTGACATGTCTTATATATTTTTTCAAATACAAAATATCAAGCATGACGGTGGATTTTATTGTAATTTTATGAATATGAATTTAGTAAATGAAATTCGTTCAGGTTTTTATTCTGATTTTTTGTTTAAATGCAAAATGTGTAATTTAGAAAAAAAATTAGTTCTACTAAATTTGTACCCGATAGCAATTAATCTATCAATAAAGCTGCTGTAAGTAGCTCTATCGCAATAGGTAAGTAAGCAAGATATACAATAACAAAAATATCAAACAAAAAATATAAATTTTAAAACATTTGGGAAATTGTATTTAGGAATTGGTTATACACAGTTATCCGAATTGTTTTCTGGATTAGAAATACCATCAATGTCTCCTACTACATATATTTCAAATAATTTTCAATAGAAAGTAATTTACAACCTGAAATTAAAAATACAGCATGGAGTGAGATGCAAAAAGCCGGCGAAGAAGAGAAGAAATTGGCAATAGAATCCGGTGATATCGATACAGATGGGATTCCTTTAATAACTGTGGTGACAGACGGACAGTGGTCTAAGAGAAGTTATAGCACGAAATACGATGCATTATCGGGAGTAGTAAGTATTGAAATAAGCAAAATTTTTTAAAAATAATAAGTTAATTGTAATACAATTATTTTTATTTTAGGCTAGTATAATCGGTTTTAAAACAAAAAAGATTTTGTTCGTCGGGATTAGAAATCGATACTGCGTAACATGTGAGAGAGCGTTGAATAAAAAAATTGAAATTCCAAATCATTTTTGTTTTATGAATTGGAAAAAGGGAGCCACGAGTATTGAGGCGGACGGAATTGCTGAGGGATTTAAGAAAAGTATTGAGTTGCACGGAGTTAAATTTTCTAAATTGATAGGTAATAATATATAAAATATAAATATCTAAATTTACTATTAATTTTATCCATTAATATATTTAATGTTTTTTGTAACGCATAAATATAATAAAATAAAATAATATAAATAATACAATTTTAAATAATATAATACACATGTGTCATTACTTATTTAGACTTACAGTTAAAAAAAACTGTTAAAACAACGTAGATGTAATATTGTAATAAATTTTAAAGTGTTTTGACTTCGAGAAAATATTTTTATTAAAAATTGAATATTTCAACTGTCTATAAATAACTCAAAAAAAGTCAAAACATTTTGATTATATATACAACGTGTTTTTCTTTTTTTCCCCAACTATTTTGAAAGGTATTGTGAATTTTAAAAAACTTAATATTATAGGTCTCAGATTTGATATATCCAACGCACCATATCATCGATTATTTGATAATCATGAAAAATGTTCTACATATTTTTGCAAAGAAAAAAACAATACGTCCACGGAATTAAATGTCAACAAAAAATGTATATCATCTATATCTAGAGAAATTGATATTATTGTTTCTCGTTTATCAAAAAAACGCAGATAGTTTGATACTCGATGTAGACAATAATATTTGTGAACAATTGAATAGCACAATCAATAAGTTTTTGGGAGGTAAACGAATTAATTTTTCCCAAAAAAGTTCATATATAACTAGAGTAAATGCAGCAGTTATAAGTTTTAATTCCAAAGAATATTTACGTGCAATTAAAAAACACGTGACAAATACTAGCCCAGGTAATTCTTAAATGCATTGTTATAAATAAAAATATAATTTTAATTTATCTAATCTATCATGTTCTGATTTAGGAAAAGTTGGAAAAAGTTTTTTAAAACGCATATTAGATAAACGTAGTGTATGTCAAAAAAGGAGAAAAGTTCTTAAAACAATTTCAAAGACGACAAAAACATATAAAAAAAGTACGACAGCTGATAAATATTATGGTAATGCTGATGAGTTGGACAATGTAAGAAGCATTAACGACCAAGGTTTAATTAATGAAATGAATGCATTTATTAGGTAATGTTTAGTAATATTAGGTATTCAAAGTCTTATATAATGTTTTTTATAAGTTATAACTGTTTAACTTATATTTGTATTATTGTAGAGTACTAAACGACGTCGATCGATCAAATATTGAAATCGAGACCCGAGATCAAGCAGCTAGTGAAAAATGGAAACGTGAACGATTGTCAAGACTTACAGCTAGTGTTCGGTACAGAACTACAACACGTCGCGTACACACTCATACGCGCGTGCGTGCGTTTTTACGCGGCCGCCGCTGAACAGTGCCGTCGCCGACACAGCTGTTTTTTTGTCACGACCAACCGTTGCCGCCGGTCGTATCAGCCGGCGCGTTATCTCGTTTTGTTTTGAATACGTTTGTTTTGTTTTTTTTTGCTCCGTCGTTGTCGCCGTTGAACCGTTCTCGCGTGCGAGTACGAAAGCCCCGTCTCGTGTTTTTTCTTTTCCCGTTCATATCATGGTGTCGTTGTCCGCCTTTTGTTTATTTGGGATGACGAAAAACGAATGAATGCGACCCGGTATCGTCCAAAATCGCGTCGTGTTACGCGTTCCTGTAAGTTGTGTATATTCGTCGTCGCGAACCCACACGGTCCGACCGTCAGTGTCGACGTACCGTTTTCAGTTTTGCCGGGCCGATCACGCGTTATCGTTATTGCGACGTACGTGCCCGCAACCACCGCTTTCCGTTTTGTTTGTTATTTTTTTGCCTTTGAGCGCCATCCGATTTACAATCGGATGTGCTGGTGTTTGGTGTCAGCGTACCCAAACTGCCGAGTTCTTCCGGTCTAACCGCTGAACGCTCAAATGCAACGTCGTCGCACCCTTAATTTAGCGTGCTTGTCCAACGTTTGGTTGTAATCGTGAGTCTCCGTCACGCACGCACAGTTTGCGACACCGCCGTCCACAGTTCTCATCGTCATCAGCCAGCCAGCAGTGTTGTCAATTTTCGCCGTCATCGTCCGTATCTCACCAGGTCGACCAGGTCGTACCTACTTAATTATTTTTTTGTCATCAATGTTATTGTTATTGTTTTAAGTAATATTAAGTGGTTCGAACCCTCTTTTATTTGTTTGTATTCATAATACATTTTTCCATTGTTTGATCACCTTATTTGGAGTTACAATATCTTTTACCTACTTCTATTTACCTTCCCTCATACAGTCCACTACAAAAAACGGTTTCGTGTGCAGCCCACTCGCACACAGCTAGTAATTTTGGTCGCATTTTCAAGATGCGGCCAAGTACGAGTTGCAAAAATACTATTTATTCTATTTTGTATAATAATTTCAGTTGCAAGTAAGTATAACATATTGACGCGTTACACAATAATTGTTTAAATAAATAGATTCAAGAAAACTAATATTTCATAGATCAGTACAGTATGGTAGAGACATGGAAAATATTGCAAAACAATGTTTTGAAAATATGTTTAATCGCCAAGTAGTGTCTTGTGGTTTATTTATAGATATGGAGTATTCATTTCTTGCTGCAAGTCCTGGTAAGTCTATCAGTTATTAAGTTTAGCTTGCAGTTAATAATTTATTTATTTGGTACATAGTAAAATTAATTTACTTACATTATTATTTAGATGGTATCATTGATAATAATGCTATTGTTGAAATTAAAGCACCGTATGCAGCAAAAGATACTTTAAATATAAATGAAGCCGTAGAGAGTGGTAAAGTAAGTAAGCATCAAATATAAACAATAATTTTTGTATTCCTAACTAGTCAATAATCAGTTATATGTCAATATGTCATAGAAATTTAATTAGCTTATAATTTTTACTTCCTTATACTAACATTATTATTTATATTCATATAATATATATATATAGCTAAAATACTGTACAATTGTAAATGGTCAATTGAAATTAAAAAGTACCCATGGTTACTTTTACCAAGTTCAAGGACAGCTACATATAACACATAGGGAAATGTGTTATTTTATAATATATACACCAAACTGGACATCGGTTGAAAAAATATTTTACGATCATGATTTTTGGTCATCGAAAATGGTGGATAAATTAAAACAGTGAGTTTGCTCATTTTATTTAGATTAATAAATTTTAATTTTATTTATAGTTTAAATATTTTTATTCTAGTTTTTATTTAAATTGTTTACTACCCGAAATAGTTGATCCAGTTTTTAAACATCGTTTAATGATATCCGACATACGAGAACCAAATAAATCCGAAGCAGTAAAATTGACAGTCAAAACAAAATTATTTTAATTTGTTATACATATATTTGTTATATGTTTTTAAATAAAAAGTAATATGTTTGTATTTCAAAAGAATTGACAAATAATTTACCAATAGGTAATATTTACAACAAAACTACCTATTATAAAAATTGTAGAGGAGAACTTTTTTAACAATCGTAAGGAATCCGATTTTTGATATCGTATTCTTATTGTCCAATATCACATGGTAAACTAACACGGTTTTGAAATATTTATCGATTAATTATTTAACTAATTAATAAAAATATCGAAAATCAGGCTTATTACGATTGTTAAAAATTCTTCTCTATAACTTTTATTATAGGTAGTTTTGATGTAAACCATTTTAATAAGCCGAATTACTATATAATTACTATATTTATATGGGTACAATATTAACAAATTTTTCAAAATTTATTGATATTTATAAAAAAAAAAATTAAAAAAATTGAAAACTGACTATGTCCGTAATCAGCTCAAAAAGAGTCAAAATATTTTCAAAAATGAGAATATAAACATTCAGTGTAATTTTCATGTATCTACAGTTATTCGTTTTTGAATTACAACAAAATAAGGAAATCGCTACATGAGAAATCGAGTGAATATCCAATGTTGTAAAAATTTGAATTTCAAACGCTCATAAAAATTTAATTTGACAAAACACAGACAATTAATATTAATTTAATTGCGCTGTATTTATTTTATTTATGATTTATTAGATTTTACTATAAGTATTATATTTAAATAAGTAATAATTCAATAACTACAAATCAAGCTATGTTATAATACAGTTTCTACGATCTATATATTGGGACATAAATTTAGGTTAACAGTATCTTAGTTTAAAATCGGCAAATCATAGGTACGCGAGGGTATTGAAAATATTACGGCGGCATTTGCGTATAATGAATTATAATGATACGAATCGTACCAGACGAAAGCTCTTAGACAAATAAACAGCGCTCCCGAACGAGCACTCGTCGCCGCCGTCGGCCGGTTGCGAATTTCGAATAGTAGGCGTGACTTAAACGCCGCACGCTTGCGGATCGTGAAAACACCTAACAGCGCATCCTCTCGGTCGTTGTATGCGTACACGTTTCGGTGACACGTCCTCTTAAGCCTGTACAGAGATTTTCATTTAAATCTAAAAATCTTAAATATTAAATAGGTATTCATTTTAATCTACAAATGCTGAAATGCATTAAGATCATTAGATCTATATACACACGAAATGTATGATCTGGATAAAGTAGACTAATGCATTCAAGTTCGACGTGACCAGCAAAGTACTCGCCATCTATGCTCATCAAATGTTTAAAATAAGTGTAAACTTAGGTGCGTATATAATGTATTTAAAATATAAATGTTAATAATTGTTTTAAATACCTACAACCTAAGGTGTTCCAAGGTGTATAGTGCATTGTATAATAATTAATGAAAAAATGTAGTTTCCCATACGTATTAAACTTAGAGCGGTGTACTGTTCGGGCACACGTATTTTATACATTGTGCTTTAAATGTGATAATTTGAAAACAATTTCTTAAAACTACTAAAATATTTTCTCTGTTGTAGCTGAATTGCCTATACAATGCGCCGTGTTAACAAAATTTTGTATTTCATTTTTTTTCAAATTTACTAAAACTATATTATTATAATATTATTATTTATGATTTACAGGAAAAATGAACAAAATGGCATAAATAAAGAACAGTAACGTCTTAACCGTGCTGAGTGTGCTGAGTCTAAACTAGGTATACACATTTTAGAAAACTGGATAACCTATATTCTTCCCAGAGGTACAATCTACCCACAAACATTAATTCATGTATCTAACTATATAAATACACAGACTATAACTAAACAGACTTAACTCTGAAACTACTTAGCAGATATAATTGTATATATATATATATATATATATACAGGGTGATCCATTTAAGTGGGTACACTAATTATCTCGAAAAGTATTAACTTTTTTTGAATTTTTTTTTTTTTAAACTTCTAGGTTTATGTTTTTCTAAAACCGTATAATATTTTAATTTTTTTCACCCTTATATTTATTAGTGAAACCACTAACAACTTTTGATTTTCAAATGGTAACATATAATAAAAATATCATGAATTAATAATACCATTTTTATTGTGAATTTACGCGTTAAAATTTTTATTTTTCGATGATTTGTTTGCGAGATACAGCTCAAACAAAATATTGGTGGTTTTCAAAATGTTTTCAATAATTGTAAAGACCAGGAGCTAATCAAAAATTTGATATCGTTGAACCCAAGATGACAAAATAAATAACAATTAAATATAGATTACCATTGTAGGTACTTTGAACCATAATATATTATTAACTTATCGACTAATTGGACATACCGAATTACCAAAGAATGATAAATAAAAACTGGAAATATATTATGACAAATTTATTTTAATCACAATTTCACAGATAATTATTTAAAAATTAAAATGGTATCACTACATAATTATATCTTATAACCACTAATGACTAAGGTATACCTTGATAAGTCCGTGACTGTTAATATGATTATAATATTATGCAGAAAGTAAATAATAAATACCCATATTTAGGTTATAATGCACAATTTTATTGTATATCAATTATCTTAAATAATATTGTTCTGTGATATTGTGAATGAAATGAATGTTGTATGATAATAGTAGAAAATGAAATACAGTAATCTGTAATACTATAATAGGTATTATAATTTTACAGCACTATTTAAGAATTTAATTAATTAATTACCTATCTAAAATCGTGTTCTACAGTTACACTATTTGAAAATCTTATAACTTTTTTTTTATTGTACAAAAACTAATAGGTATCAAATTGCAGTGATATTATTTGATTAACAATCAAATCGGAATCCCAAAAGTCCAAGACCATTAATTAATAAGGATTTGAAAGAAAAAATGTATGAAGATCCAACTACATAAAATTCTTGGTTTATTTATTTTTAATATGTGTTCAAAATGTTGACCATTTCGTGACATACAAAATTACATACAAAAGACATTTTCAGTTGTACATTTTTTCATAATATCAGCTGGTATATTTGAACAGACTTCTGTAATTTTTTTTATCAGCTCATTTTTACTGGATGGCATTATATCATAAACAGCATTCTTCACAAATCCCCCCCCCCCAAAAAAAAAAGGTGGGTAAGTGGATGTCGCTCTGCTGTACTATAGGTTACAAGTGGGTCACTGTATAATGGATGGTATTATATTTGAATTCAATGATATAATATCATTGTATAAGAAAAACGATTCTGAGCGGAGACTGTATGTCAGTCTAGGTATAAGACATTAAATACTTATCTATGGTATTAAATTATATGGAATTTATGAATAAATTATTCATTGCCCCTTAAAATATACACAGTCTTATCATTGAGAATACTTCTTATTCCTTATAATATGGTAGATTGTATGGATAGACCATAATATTTTGATTTTTCAGTTTCATATATCCCCGAATAATATTTTTAAATTACAACAAAAAACCAAGATCGTTAATATTGATTTTAATATGTAATTTTGTCCAAATATGAATTTAAAATGTCTGTAAAAAATAACTGTGCTCATATATTTTTTAGATTTTTTGGCTACAGTATGAACTATTTATGAGAATCTTTTTTTTAAATTTTTAATCCTTAGCTATAAAAACTGAACATTTTATAATTTATTAATTACGATGATTGATAATTTTCGAGATTTTGATAAATTTTGTCAAAATGCGATCTTCAAATGCTTATAAAAAAAAATTGTGCCTATGTATTTTTAATATTTTTCAATTGCTATTATAACAATATATCAGGAGCCTTGTATTAATTTTTTACACTTTTTGGCCCAACAGATAAAACTTTATTGATATTTAAAGAAAAAAAAATAAAAAAATTGAAAACTGTTAATGTCCGTAAACGGCTCAAAAGAGTCAAAATATTTTCAAAATTTAATGGTGTATAGGAAATGCTAATATAAACATTCAGTGAAATTTTCATGTATCTACAGTAATTCGTTTTTGAATTACAACAAAATAAGGAAATCGCCACATGAGAAATCGAGTGAATATCCACTGTTGTAAAAATTTGAATTTCAAACGCTCATAAAAATTTAATTTGACTTTCTTATAGAATTTTTTTTTTTGATAAATGTAGGAAATCTTATAAGGAATCTTGTATTACATTTTGATATCTTAGATTAAAAAAGAAAAATTTTTATGAATTTCTAACTAGAAATAATTTGAAAATTTTCGTGATTTTTCCATATTTTGTCATTTTTTGAACTTTAAATGCTTAAAAAAAAAACTGCGGCTAACGATTTTAAAAATTTTTCATCTGTCTTTGAAACAATATAGTAGGAGCCTTGTATTAAATTTTCAAGTATTTTTACTCAACAAATACATTTTTATTGATATTCATAAAAAAAAAAACTAATAAAATTGGAAAGTGAAAATGTCCCTAAACAGTTCAAAATAAATCAAAATATTTTGAAAATGTTATCGTGTATAGAAAATGCAAATATAAACAACCACTGAAAATTTCATGTATCTACGGTCATTTGTTTTAAAGTTACACTAAAAACCAAAATCGGTTTTCTCGAAAACAGATTTTGTGTAAAAATTCCCGTTTTTCCTTAATTTTTCTTTTGTTTTTCCCGGCGCTTTTGAAAACTACTAGGAAATTTTGACCTCCTCAATGCACCAACGATATTCACTTTCCAATCGAACGAGATACTGAAGTTGAAAATCGAAGCATTATTTCGACTACTTATCGTGTACACAGTCACAATAAAAAAAACACACATCATTGTAAAATCAATACATTCATCGTTCCACTCAGAATCTAAAATCCAAAGGTGTCATGTCTGAAGTACGTGCTGGCCATTGCATTTTCTGGATTCCGGGTACCCATCCAGTTATCTTAAAAATACAATTTAAATTAAATGTAATACTTATTTGTATAAATTGTATCCATAGCATATTG